TGCCTTCTCCAGCTGTCCTGACTTGCTGTACTTCTCCTCGGCAAACACCAGGTCCATTTCACTCACGTCATTGTTTAGGATGAAGCACACTTTAGTTTTGTAGAACTCTTGGTCATCTGTCTCAAAGTACTGCATGTGGAAGAATAGAACACACATAACAAAAATTGTTTTCAAATAAACATGGGATTTTATCTTCCTGGTAAAGATGACTGGGCCAGCTTTAGTTCTCAGCTTGGAAATCTTAGGATGTTGAACTACATAACTAAAAAATGCCAAGAAACTAATCAGGATTCTTGGCTTGGTTAGGAATGTTAAAGTGATGAGACGAACCAGCTGAAGGTAAACGATGAAAACATAATCTTCCAATTTCTGAGGAAAACATATTTTCTGTGGGGTTGTACTGTACTTCATACCTTGTAATTCATCCTAAGCCCAATGATCTGGGCCAGAAAGGAACGTGTAAAGCGAGCTCGAACCAGCTGTTTGTATGTCCCACCCAGAGCGGACTCGTACAGGCACTTCCCTACGACACGACCTGCAAACTCATACATCTTTAGACGCAGGTGGGGCGGCCGGTCAGGATTTGGGTGCACCTGGAAAATAAAGATGAATGCGCTGTCTTTTTTTTTTTTTTTTTTTTTTCCCTGGACTCTCTTTCATAACCCAGCACACACCTGCTATGCCCACAGGCTGCACGATATAATTGAAATGAATGCCACTTTGATGACAGTACTTTTTCTGATGTTGATATGTAACACAGTCTCACGTAAATATGCAAAATCACATATAAGTGATTTTCAGTACAGACCCAGTTTTGGCCATCAAGAGAGGAGGGGATGAGAGATGCATAATCCACAGTGTATGTGCACATTTGAACCACGCAGTCAGTATTTCAGCAGCCCCCTCACCCCCAGTGAGTCTATCCAGCAGTCTCCATAGCTGCATCTTGGCCCACAAGAGAGCCGAGAGAGAAGGTGGAGTGGAAATTGAATCATTTTATTGTTTGTCACTGCAGCCCTCATGGCCATAGGCTGTTACTGGACACTAATAATTAGGGAAACAATCCTGACAATGGAAAATTAAAGACTTGTGATAGAAAATGAGCTTATTGCTGAGAGTACAAACTCATTTATTGTCACTCTCTCCACTCTTCTCTTTACTCATTAGGTAGAGTGCTGTCACTGAGTGATTGGTAGAGGGGGAACAGGTAGTGCAGATTATAACTATTTCTGGGTGGAATTATGCAAATGAATGAACTGAGCAAATGTTTCAATATTCCACAAAGCTTTTAATTCACATCTGTAAAAGTTTATTTGTTGTGAAGTGTCTTATTCCAGAGGTAACATTGCATAAAATCCACATGCTCCATTTTTCAGCAGTTTGAACCATTGTTTCTGTGGACAGTAAAAATCTTACAGACCAAAGTAAATAGCTGAGCTCTGGGTACATGGTCAAGAGCCAGAAAACACAAGCCACGCCCTAGGTTAGCTGAACTTTTTTGTTAGTTTTTTTTTTTTTTTTTATTAGAAAAGG